GGAGGGAGTTGTAGGGGGCATAGAGGATATCCCTGGCTCCAAAGAGGAAACCAAATGCACTCTCCTCTCCTAAGCAGCTTTGTAATTGAGCTGAACCACAAAGAAATGGGGTCAGCAATGTGATCTCTGCATCTAAGATAGCCAGTAAAGGTTTACTGGTGTCGGAGGAGCTGACCGACCTGGTACCTGCAGGGTAGAGCCCCAGGGCTTCTATCCGACTGATGTCCCTGTATCGGTTCCCAGTGAGCGCTCCGGGGAGGCCAGAGCTGTGATTAATGGCCTCAGGTTAGAAGAAGAGAGGAACTGGGGACTCACCCTGCTCTGGATTTACACCTGTGAAGACACTAGCCAAGAGAGACACGGGAAGCAGCAGTCCATGGGCAGAAAGACTCAGAAGCCAGCCTGGAGACAGCCAGGGACGCAGTGGGCAGTTTAAGCAGGCACTTGGCTGAGTCTATCTATTTCAGGGGGAGCCTCCTCCTGTAGTTTTCTTACTTACTGCCTTGTTCCTGGTCAGCAGAGGCTCTATGCCTTACAGAGAGCAATAAACAGAGATCAGTGGGTTGAGGACATAGTGGTAAGTGTGCCTAAGTCTTCCTAGGATAAAATTTACACAATGGTGTGTTTAAAAGAGGAAGTGTGCTGGTCAGAAAGAAACCTAAGGAAAGGAATAATTGTACCAGGGATGGAGAACATAAGAAACACAGTGCTCTACAACACCTCTTTTGAAAAGGAAAGATGTACTGTATTATTTTACCAACAAGCCTGTGACCTGGGCAGACTGTTCATGTCAAATCACGATGGGCCTATTTTCCGGCTCAAGCCATCAGCTCCCAGCTGCTTTACCGATGTGAAATGGAGTATACAATTCTCTGAGACGTGCATCTCTCCACGGTCGGATTAGCAGATCTCCACAGTTGTGGAAGGGCTAGCAAAAGAAATCTGTGGTGGCTGTTGAACCAGAAGCCAGCTGCAGGAGGAGGATTATACTTGAGTGCCACGGTCATCTTCCCCCTGTTGAGATGCTGTTTTGTGAAGTCTCTGTTTGTGCCATTATTTTTCTCAGCAGAGGGCTGATATAGTCGTCAGTGGAAGCTATTAATAGCCTTGAGTTTCTGGGAAAAAATGTAGGGCTTGAATGCAAGTATGCTTGTGTTGTTTGTGTATAGTCCTTTTTTGAGTAAAATTCAGCAATAAAAGAACAAAGAGAGAAAGGGGTTTAGCGCTTTATGCATTTTTGAAGTGAGCTTTCTTTTCTTGGCCTCTTCACGATTTCCAAGGATGTGTTGCTTTTCTTGTCGCTGAATTATGGCAAACAACTGTATAGAAGGAAGCTGTCCTCTAAATAAGCACTAGTAGAGAAAATCTGTAGTAAATTCTTGGCCTTGTAGACCTAAGAGCACAATGACGGTCACAGTGCCCAACCCACAGGCACTGTGCACCTCAGCCAGTTTTGATAGAAACACTCAGGGCAGGAATTCAATGATAAACACACCTGCAGCATTTCGGCTCTACTCCTGGCTTCTGACAGACCAACACAGAATGAGTCTGAGTATCTAGGTTTTTTACAGCAAATAGGTATAATTCTGTGAACACTTCCCTGAATGTTTTTAGATGGGTAAGTACAGTCAGTATATCGCAGGCGTGCAATATGAGAACAGCTTTTAAACCACAGAATGCTCTCAAATGCAGTGAATTTGCTTGTAAGGGAGAATGTATTACAACTGCAGAGTCTAATCTCTACAGTAACCCAGTTTCAGCTTTCATTTCCTGGGCTAAACTGAGAGAGATAGGGGACTTCTGTTCTACTTTGGATTTCTGCAAGAACTGTTACTGAGGGGTTCCTGTCTCTCTGCCTCCCTCCCCTGGGGCCTGTGCTTATCCTCTTTGCTTCTTCCCTTTGTCAGAGCTCTACCAGCGCAGCCTGGTGCTTACAGGCTGAGGTTTATGTTCTACAGGACTATTAAAGTCCCAGGGCACTTGACAAGCACAGTGCAGCTTCATTTCAGATGAGCTGCAGTGATTAGTCTTCTGCCCCTCAGGAGGTAAGAGAGGAGAAGGGATAGGACCAGCTATTTTTGTGAATGATATCTATGTCAGAAGAATTCGTTAAGGATGACAACAAAAACTTTATTTGAAAAAATTATTATGTATTGAAAATATACAGTAGTATCACCAACCTTCTCCTTGCCTCTGTTCCTCCCCAAGCATAGGTTACCCACAAGCATATCACAGCAACCAGATTTAACAATACTGGTCTCCTTTGTTACTCCCTCTCAGTATGTCTAAATT